GATACAGTAAAATATTAGATAAGCCCGATATCTATGAAGGAAGTTGTAGTGGTCGTGGCAAGGTTTCCGAATATATAAAGAATGTCGAAATCCGAGTTATAACGAAGAAGTTATGACCTGTCGAAGTTTCGCGACAGAACCGGTACAACACTGTGTGACGTAAATAGTGAATTTACGATATAGATATATTTAGCCTTAGTGATCTAAACGAAAGTCGTAGAATATGTTAAACCGAGAGCGTGCATAAAAAGAACGTCTAAATCTGACTTCGTATGAGTAAGTTATAATTTTTCGAAGTTTCGACTTAGCGGTATGCAGCCCAAAGTTCGAATATGAGATCGAGTGATTTCTAGCCGAAACAATATAAACGAGAATCGAATATCTCGTCGATAGTAGTCCAGCGGTGAAAAGACAGACGAAAACGGATGTCAGATGAAGGAGTTATGAATTTCTAACGGAGTTTTCCTGTCCCGGCCTACTAAAAATAATATAATAAAAATAAAGTCAAAATTAGCCGACGGAGTCTAAACGAGAGTTGTAGAGCATAATCTCACCTATGCGTGGATATAAATAACATCGAAAACAGAGCTCGTATGCGAAAGATATGAATTTCTGAAGTTCGGAACACAAACTTCGAGGCTGTGTCAGAGTTCACGACGTGAACACTGTGTTCACGACGTGAACAGGGACTAGACGTCTTCCAGAGCAAGTGGACTGATGACGAACGCAATGACATATTCGAGCTCACGACGTGAGCATAAGTGGCTCACGACGTGATCACAGTTTCTCAGCCCTATAAATAGAAGTTGAAGGGCAGCCGGCCTTGGTTGCTAATTCCCCACTCTCTCACTCTCGATACTCTCTCTAGCCGTCTTGAAGTACCCCCGAAGCCCCGGTATCATCCCGAGACCCGAAGCAAGTCCCGAAGCTCCGAAGATCCCGAGAAGAAAAGAGTTTCCGAGCCGAAGCTCTGCCCGCAAGAAGCCCGGTGTGTGAAGAGATCACAGTTTCACCGAAGAATACTGCTTTAAGAGTCGTAGTGTTGTCCGATAATCATCTTATCAAGTGAGTGCATAGTCTCTTTCATATACGCGATTTTTAATACAAGTATTGATGAATGTATTAGATATATGATATGAGTAAGTGTGTAGTTTCCTTCTATAATACACATATATGAATTATACTCTGGGAAATACATGCTATGTGATTATATACTATTTGCTATGTGGTATGAGTATTGAATGAATATGTTATACAGGTCTTAAGCTGTATATAAACAAGTATATTTTATCTACAAATATGTTGCGTAGAACATGGGTAGATAGTTATGTGTGATGAAATAAAAATGATGAGAGGCCTCGATGCTGTTGTTGATCTAGTCATCTAGCCGAGTATGGGTGACGACCACGGACTCTTTCTAGACTGTCCAGTGGAACGCTAGTAGGTTCATAACCTGTAGGTGTTCTGAACGATGTGTTCACCGGTGTACTCTATCCCCCTCATGGTTGCCTTTAGGACATCTATTGTCGAGGAAACCCCTTTGCAGTAATGTCCATCCCGATGAAAAATCCTTAAACTAGGTCCCTTGTGATAGTTGTTGTTTTAGGGACGTAAAGTGAGGATAACGGTAATGGGTAATCGGGTTATTGTTGGTTGGTGAAATTAAATATAATTATTTATTGTGGGTTGAAAACCCTATATGCTCACCAGGCTCCCAAGCCTGACCCACTCAGTTTTATTTGTATTACAGGTAGTGGCGCGAGAGCATAAGTTGGATGAATCATCAAGATATTTTGATTATAGGCCAGTAGTTGTATATAACTGTTGTAAGGCTTATAATGTGTCGTTTATGCTTTTGGTCTGTATCGGAACATGACATCCCGAGTTTTGTTATATATGAAAATACATTTCTTTAAGAAATGCTTTGATAAATTTTATCTTATCATATTTTGTTTTGGGAACAAATTCCGCAACCCTTTTAAATCAAAGGATTACTCGGAAATTATTTTAAAAATCATAAATTAAATCGGTCTTTTCTAGCCGTGAATTTGGGGATGTCACACTTAGACCCTTGAGTATAGTGAGGAAAACTCACCTGGCGCACTGCTGAAGTCCCGCAGACAAAACTCCAGCTGCTGGTTGACAGATTCCCAAGTTGTCAACATCAAACAACGCCCAATTAATAATTGGGTTCCAAGCCCAAGGTCCAACTCACACTCCAAAGGCCCAATAGTCAACCAATGGGCTAAAGACCAACATATGGCCCAATTTTCCAAATTGGGCCCAGACCTCTACATGGTCTTTCCTTAAGGCCCGTTCAATTATTGTAGTCTAAACTATTTGTATTCCCATGGCCCAATATCACATAATCATAAAGGCCGAGTTATGGCCCATCTATGGCCCAATTTTCAAAATTGGGCCCAAGACTCTCACATGGGCCTTGTCCTAAAACTCATAATTATTTAGTCCATTTGCTTATTCTTGGAAAGCCCATTAATAGTCCAATCGCCAAAGCCCGATAGAAAGGCCCAACACAAAGTCCAAGTGAAATTAGGGTTTCACATAAAATGACAATTAGGGTTAAGTGTTTCTCACTTAACCCATTAAGGACTTAATCCATTAAGTCCCTCACTTTACTAAATAAGTCATATGGTGTGATTGGGCTTAATACACAATTTCATTCCAATGTCCCAAATGTGGGTCCCGATAAGTCCAAGCCCATAATCCCAAAATTAGGGTTTTCACATGAAATGATGATTAGGGTTAAGTGTTTCTTACTTAACCCATTAAGGACTTAATCCATTAAGTCCAACATTGCCTTAGGTTAATTTGCCAATGATTATTAATTATTATTTTAGGTTTAATAATTAATTCTCGTGCGGTCCCGATCAATTCTAAAAAATTAGGGTTTTATGCCATTAGGGTTTTATGCCATTAGGGTTTTCCAAACCCTAATTAGGGTTTCCTACCCAATACTAGCCCATTAGTCAATTGGTTGGGCTTCCAGGTCACGTTGGGCCTTATTGGGCTATTAGGGTTTTATTAGGTCAATTAGGGTTTTGCTAGTGGGGCACCACCCACTACCACCTCGGGTAGTGGTGGTCAGCGGCGGCGGCCACCTAACGGTGGTGGTGACGGATTTCCTTTTTATTATTCCGATCAATACAATATTACAACACGATCACCAATAACCGTACACACACATACACTAAGCTAAACACACACACACACACAGCCACCTTGTGGTGGCCGGCGGTGGCGCATGGCGGCAGCAAGCGGCTGCGATGAGTTTCTTTCCCGTTCCCGAAGGTTCCCGGTTGCTCACGACCACGCAGCAGCGAATAAGTCAATTCATCGGCCTCCGGCGGTCACTCGCTGCCCACAGCGACTCCGGTAACAGCACTGTGGCGGCGGGTACATGGCAAGGCAGCAACGGCGTTGACGGCGGCAGCGGCAGACGACGGGCATCGGTAAGAGCTGAACAACATAGAAGAAGAAGCGATTGGAGTTGCCTTGACCTCTTCGGAACAGTCCAGCAGCGGCGAAGAGGCGACGCTCGGTCCTCATCGGCAGCTACGACTCTAATAGCGACAGCGCAACGACGGCTGGGGGGGAAAGGAACCCGACAGCGATGAAGGATCGCCCGCTGGCCCCCCCGGTGGTCTTCAGCTTCTCCGGTCATGGTGGATGGATTCGTTGGTCTCGGTTGATCGGAACCGGCGAAATGGTAATGGCGCCGGAGATAGGAGGAAATGAAGGTGGCGGCTGGTTAGCATGTGTAAGGTTAGGGTTTGGGGACGGGGTGACAGGTTTATATACCCCCGTCACTTTTCAAACTTTTGCCATAATGACAGAAATGGCCCTTCATTCTCCTTTTTCTTTCAATTTAAACCCTTAATTTACCATTTGAAGCCCTCCTTCTGAAAACCCTTACAAATCAAGTCCGAAATCTTACCAATCAGCCCCTCTTTCCATAAATCCTTTCATATTAAGTCCAATATTTACTCATCAACCCCTGCATCCATAAATTCTCTTATATTAGGTCCAAATGATACCAAATAGCCCCTCCTCTACAAAACCTTTTCAAAATAAGTCCCTTAATTACACTCTAACCCTCGAGACTAACATCCCGATAATTATTATTTGATTTTTTGGGCTATGATAATTTAAAATAATAATAAAAATTACTTTTGGGGTTCCGAGTTTATCATTCAATTATTCTATTTTAAAGGGGGTGTTACAGTGCAAAGGATGTGCTAATGATTTTGGATTTCTAGAAGAATTGTTCAGAGGTTCGAGGCTGGCATACCAAGAACTTAAAAGTGAAGCATTTGACTTTAAATTCTCTAGGTATTACCATGTTTGGAATAGAAGTGATAACTTGTGAAGTCCAATAAAAGTAGATTTAGTTGTTTGAGCTATAGTACCGGTCTCAACACGTCCCACTGGTACGGTTCCAATACCAACAACCTTGTAGACCTCTTGAAGTGGTAGACGGAGTGGCTTGTCCGGTGGTTTCTTAAGCTTTCTGCTCTCATCAAGTGCTTCAAGAAGGGTTGGTCCTTTGTACCAATGAAGATTGGTTGACCTCTCACTGATGTTGTTATCTTCAAATCGAGAGCTTGGGCCAATGAGATTTTTTCATGGTTGTATCCCACTTCCATCATGATTTCCTTATACCTGGATTTAGAATAATGGGGTACAGTGACGTCCATCTTGACACGATTTTCTTCACAAACAAACAGCCTTGGAGGCTTAGGTATTATTGTTGGTGCTGGCCCTAAACAAGCTCCGAGAACCGATTTACTGTTGTTATTGGAGTTAGCCTTCAGGGCTGTGGCGAAGTTGGTGGAAGACAGACGTTTAGTATTTAACCCTAGGGTTTTTGGGGTGAAATTGGAAGAAACGGATGATGTCGACTCCAAAGCGTTTGGTGCGAAGCTTGAGGAAGCGGTCATCAATGGTGACGAGAAGGTCTGTGCTGGTGAAATCATCGGCGTTTACAAGACTTCTTGAGTTACCGTCATTTTAATTTCATTCGGGCCTAACTTCTTATCGGCCTTAATAGTCTGATCCCAAGAATGTAGGCCCAACTTGCCAAATTCGACCCATTCCTTGCTTTCCAGCCCATTTCTTCGATGACTTAGGTATCCCTCTTCCGTTACTTCGTTTAATGGAGTCGTCATGCTAGGTCTGTGCTTTGTTACTGTGGTGGCCTGAGAATACGCTACTAGATTCCAGCGATCCCCGACGACTCCTTTCTGGTGCAAAATCGGATCTCTCTTTCCCCTATTCCTTGCTTCTAATTCTCGGAACAGTGGTAGTGATGATAGTGGTGGTCGGAACTGACTCTTGCTGCTGTCATGGTCAGAATCTACTAGGGATCCAAACTGAGAATCCGTCAAAATCTGTTCCGCTGCGTCGTTGGAAGATTTGAACCGCCACTGAATTAATCCTTTAAGCTCTTCCCAGTCTCGTATGGGTCGCCTCCGATGCTCCCATTCATAGAAAAGTAAAGCTTCGCCTTCTAGAGACCTCTCGACAGCTTTCATCGTTTCTTCATCCTCATACGAGCAGAATGACCCTTCAACATTAAAAATCCATTCATGAGTGTTAGTTCCATCAAACAAGGGAATCTCATGTTTGTGAAATCTTCGGTTGGTCGTTCCTCCCTTAAGAATCATTTCTCTCTTCCTTGTTTCAACTTCAGGTGTTGATACCACTGATTTCTTTCCATTGGGCTCTTCTGGTCGGCTCTTGGCTATAGCACTCAAGGCCTCTTCAAACTTTTGGTCCATCTTCAACTGAAGAGAGGCCATGGATTCAGTGTTCTGTTGGATCTGATGCCTTTGATTCTCCATTCGAGCATACAAATGCCCTAACTCTGTTTCTAGCGATTCAACCTTCTTGATTTGAGATCCTCTAGCTTCCTTCCCTCCTCCTTCATCACCAGCCATAATCCTAAGTGAAGGTGAATGCTCTGATACCATTTGTTATGAACTGGATTCTAAGAACCGATTCAATAACACATAAACAATCAAAGGATTCTAATATTGATTGAAAAACACTAGATAATACCAAATGATTACAAGAATGAAGATAGTTTAGCTGATTCGAGATAGCCAATCTCCTAATATAATACCAAATGATTACAAGAATGAAGATAGTTTAGCTGATTCGAGATAGCCAATCTCCTAATAGGAATGAATTCCAATTTTCACACAAAATATAGATACCTCACTCCCTTGCCCACTACCTTCTTATACTAGCTGACATAACAAACTAAATACTATAGAATGCCTAAAATGCCCCTAAACCCTTGAACTAATAAGATTCTCTTTATTAGGCTGATTTCCCATCTTACCCCTTTCTATAAAGTTGTACGTGAGTGAATGCATAACATTGCATTGTTACACATTTTACAAGTAGCAGAGTTGGAAATGCCAAACTTGGAGAGATTTTCCATTGTAAGAAGCTTACGATGACAAATTCTCCAAGTAAAAATGTTTAATTTTCCAGGAACAAAATTATTCCAAGACCAACAATCATTTGACTGTGAGAGTGAAGCATTATCAATACAATCCCGGAGGGATGAGACTGAATATTTACTAGTAGGAGTGGGAATTATTTGGTCCGGAACCGAAAAAACCAAAAACCAAATCAAACCGAAATCGATTTCAAACCAAATCGTATTCAAATTCAGTTTCTGGTTTGGTCCGAGACCAAACCAAATTTTGAATTTGATTTTTGGTTTGAGTTTTGGTTACATAAACTTTAGACCAAACCGAACCGAAAATTTGAATTGAATTAATTATTTAATTAAAATTTTATATTTTATATTTTATATTTTATATTTTATATATAAAATAATCAATATAAAGTAAAAGACATTTAACCCTTATACCAAGTTAGGGTTTTTACTATTCAGTATTCCCGCTCATAATCCTAACAAATTCACGATTCACAAGCACATTTTACTTTTCATTTTCAATTTCACCTCCCAATCATAGAAACTTTAGATATTTATGCTTGCAACTTTAGCTTTTTATGTTTAAACCTTTGTAATTTATGTTTGAAAAATTACAACATTGAACTTTTTTTAAGAAAATATTTTGTTTCTTTGGTTTCCAAACCGAACCAAATCGAATTAGAATTTGGTTTTCGGTTTGGTCGATGGATTTGAATTTTGTTTTGTTTGGTTTTCTAATTAGACAAAAAAATTCAAACCAAGAAAACCAAAGAACCTACAAACTGAACCGATTCTCACCCCTAATTACCAGAAGGTTCAAGTGATCAGCTCTAATTTACCGTCCCAGCTAAACTAATTGAGGATTGGAATAGATTCTGAAATGCAATATTTTCACCTGCTAAGATCTTATGAATATTTGTAATTGTGCCCCAGCAGCCGTTTTTCTTTTTTCCATTGTAAGGCCCGAGAATCCATCATTTGCTCTGTATATTGATTTAACTATGCCTACCCAAATATTATTTGTATTTTATCTAAGACGCCACCACCATTTGCCTAAAAGAGCAATGTTTTGGCTCTAAGGCACCCAAGACCAAGCCCGCCCTTATCTTTGGGAGCAAGGATCTTATCCCATGCGATCCAAGCCATTTTTCTTTTCTCCAAATCTGCACCCTAGAAAAATCTCATGTGAAATTTTTCAAGACATTCGATGACTTTTGAAGGAGCCTTGTATAAAGAGAAGAAGAACTTACCAAGATTCCCCAATACATAGTTGCATAGGATTAGACATCCACCAAAATATAAAGCAGAGGCTTTCCATTTTGACAATTTGGATCTAAATTTATTAATTATAGGATTCCAGTGTACTGCCCGAGACATTGAAGCCCCAATAGGAAGACCCAAGTATGTGAAAGATAAGGAGTCAATTGAACATTTATACCACGGGCCACGAGGTCAATTTCACAGCTTTGTACCCCAAAACCCAAACAACTTGCTTTTAGACATATTGACTTTCAACCCTAACGACAAGTTCGACTATGAACCTACGAAAATTACATCATCAACATATTGTAGATAAGACAAGTTCGGGCCCATTGTTAGGAAGTTAGATCCCGTCGAAGATATTCTTTTCTTTAGCCTCTTCCATAGCAATGTGTAGACCCTTGGTTGTGGTTATAAAAAGAAAGTGGGGGAGGGGGTAACCCTGTCTAACCCCCCCCCCCCCCCCCCCCCCCCCCACCTCTCCGTTGAGAATTCAGATGTTGGAGATCCATTTATAATAATTGAAACCCTAGCCGAGGAGAGACAACCATAAATCCAAGATCTTGACTCTATTTGGCTAGAATGGATTCTCTATATTCTCACCTAAGATTGTTAAAGACCTTCTCAGAGACAATTTTAAAGGTAAACGCCTTCTTTTTATTCTTTTTTATCCAGGCTAATACTTCATTTAGAATGAAAGATCTATCTAATATATTATGATCGTTTATAAATGGTCCAAGAAGAGTTAGCTATATAAAATCATTATCAAATCTGAATTTCCTTAATTAACCAAGTAAAAGCTAGATTTTTCGACAGTTGACTACAAATAATTATTTAAATCATTAATTCAATTCATTTAATGTTAATTACTTTATACAATTAATAAAGTTTTGTAGATGACGGTTATACCAAAATCAAACTTCTTAAATTTAAATTTTGACATCTAATAGTCAGAACAACTTGTATGTATGATTTTAGAAATACTCATGTAACCATTTGCCACCTCAAAGATGATATTTTAGACCCTAATCAAAGACCTAAGCAAAAAAATTCACATGTTCTAAATTGAACAATTTAAGTAGATTCAATCAAACTTATTGGTCTTGAAACTACATAGTTCACACAAAGCACAAAGATAATGGCAAATGGAAACTACATAGGTTTTTCTAGTTTCTATTCTGCAAAATAACATTGCAAAAAACAGAAATAAATAATACAACCATCTAAAACCACAAAGAGAGTAGTAGTAGTAGTAATAGCAACAAGAATACACACACACACACACTAAAGCAAAGAGAGTTATAATAAAAACTTGATATCACCACGAGTGGTAAAAGACGTAATCGCCCCTCAAATGGTCTGCAACTGAGAAAATGAGATCCGAATCATGGAATCACCAAGACTACTTGCATGCTTACACACAAGAGCTTCAGTGGCCTGTTCTTCATTTTCAAACAAAACAAGAGCCTGTTTTTTAGCATTCATTTCAAAAAGCTTGGTGTTGATGATGCTCCCATGTTCTTCAAGGTGGGTCACATCTCCTCCTCTGTTATGTCCTGTGGTAGGGTGGACAGGTGGATCATTTTGGTTGGTGAGCAACAGTAACGATAGTTTTTAGCAGCATTGCGGTTAAATCGGTTAAGATTTGAGTTTAAATACTCATGCGTTTCAGCACCCATTGTGATGTGTGGATGTTTTGAATAATTAACCTCCAATCTCTTTCCAAATAATGTTGCCCCCTATAATTTAAAACTAATAGTCGTTATTAAATATAACTATATAATATAATATAATTAAAAGAAGAGTATTTTTTTTGTAAAATTTTGGACCTTTAAAAAGTGTACTGCTAATTCAGACTGAAAGCCATCACCCATTTGGATAAGGGCGTGATCTGGTTTATTGCGAAGAAGCTTGATTCGGGCAATGTTTCCATATAAAGAAAACAAGTTGAACAGTTTGTTTTCATCTATCCTCTGACATATATATATATATATATATCAACATCAAAACAAACATAATGTTGATCTGTGTGTGTGTGTGTGTGTGTGAGAGAGAGAGAGAGAGAGAGAGAGAGAGGGAGAGAAAGATTACATCAGGATTTAGATTAGATGCAAGAACAGTGCATCTGTCATTAGTCCCACTAATTCCAGGAGGCAACCCTCCTCCAAATGCAGCTGCAATTGCTGCGCCATTGTTCATCTTAATTTCAACAGTTTTACACAAAACAAATCCGATAAAACCATTAGTATTTAATAATAATAATAATATTAATATATGTGTCTGAACAATAATAAATGAGCATGAAAAAGGTCAATTCGGTTATAATAAATGACTCCCTTTCAGCTTCAAGCAGATGCATGTATATAACAAGGAGGATAACACCCACCTGTGGAAATCCAACTGAAAACCAAACAAGAAAAAATTAAAATTAAAAATATTTATCAGAAGACACTCTGGCACCTTTCCTACCTTCATGACCTTGTAAACTGTACATACCTCCTGCATCTCCATATCCAGGCTGGCACAACAGTCAATAATAATAATAAAAATAAAAACATAAATCACCTAAAATAGAAAACGAATTTAATAAAATAAGTAACAACAGATTGTGATCAAGAACATACTTGAGAAGAAGGTCTGCCCTTTTGTTCTGAAGGCAGTGATGGGTTTGTGAAGTCCCTATTGATATAAAAAAACAAAAAGTTAAATAAATTTGTAAACTCATAAGAAGATATTTTGTTATATTCACAAAAATATTAACAGACCTAGACCGATCATTATTGTAGTTCACTTGCAACTCGTCAAGACTGTAAAAAAGTCAACAACCATTAAAGCATATCATATTACTGTATTAGAAAAAGATTTAAAAAAAAAAAAAAAAAAAGTTAAAAAACTTACTTTGAGAACTGAATATCTAGTTGACAACAACCATCATAAATATTACGTCCCTGAAGGGAATTTCTTGCAGATATGGCACTCTGGCGTGATTGAAATTGAATAAGTGCTTGAAAACCTATAAATGTGAAAATAATATATGACATGAAATGATGAATAAGAAATAAATAGAAAAAAGGGGGAAATTTAAAGATGCTAACCAGCTGACTTTTGAAAAGTGACAATTTTCTCCACATATCCATGAGGAGAAAAGACTTGCTGCAGGACTTCCACAGTAATAGGGTAGAGCATGTGATGGATTGTAACCAGGAGTATACGGTTAGGCTGTGTTCCATACCACGTCCAATCGCACCCCAAAGCCCAGCATAGACAGAAGAGAGAGAAGAGAATAGAATGAATAGAGAAGAATAGATAGAGAAAAGAAGAAAGGGAAAGAGAAATAGATATAGATATAGAGATAGAATTTTAAATATGTCAACCTCCTACACACATTCAATTACAAACAGACCCATAAATATAATATTCTTAATCAAATCACCATAACAAAAGATATGTAGTAAAATTGATAATAAATACCTCGTCTCCACGCCCTTGAGTATTTTGCTCCATGGTCGTTAGCTCTTGGTGAGATGAAAACTGAACATACACATTTCTACCCCTGGAGTTTGCATAGTAAATAATAGTTAGTACTAATTTTTATCATTAATAAAAACTTAAACGATTAGAAAAAGACCAATTATGATTTATGAAATCCATAATCCTTTCTTGTTCTAATTTTTGTTACATCAGTAGTCGATACACCTTATGCTTGGTTGAACATTGGCATAAAATTGCATTGCATTCACAGCGGAAGGAACATCTTGCATTTGAAGGAGAGCCTGCAAATGTTAGGAAATTAATAGCCAAAATATTGACCGATTTTATATCGCAAAGCTATATACCTGGTTTTTTGCACGAAGCATAACTAGTTTGTTGATGACTCCAAAAGGTTGGAATAGTTGAAGTAGATCAGGCTGAATAACAGAAAGAATGAAACGGAATTATAACTACACTCTCTATGTTACAAAGTTACAATTAGCATCGATCTTTATGAACAGAAACAGAAAAATTCATCGTGGGTGATGAATAACAGAAAGAATGGAAAGGAATCCATCCTTAATATGCATAATCGAAAGAAGCACGTTGTGAATTACAAAGAAATCAAACCTCCGAAATCTCGTGACCAACATTCCGAACGTGAATGACTTTAGAAGGCTCTGTCATTTTAAATTATCCTGAAACAAAAAAAAAATGAACTGATTCATGAAAAAGGTTCCACATACAATATATGAAGCAATCAATTCTAAAATCCAAAAGAAAAAACGGTTGATGATTGCTAATCAAGCAAAGCAAAAGAATTTGGAAGTAAAACCCTAAATTTCCATCGGGAATTGTAATAAGATAACGTGAAAAAATCAAACTGAATCTTCTTGGAAGGGGAAAACCAGAGAGATGTAAAGGAGTGAGACTCGTAAATCTGAATAAAGGGGAATCGCACCTGAAGATGATGAACGAAGTCAGCCGAAGCTGGAAGCGGCAAAGAGAGTAGTGTCTGAAAGGGAAAATCGTATTGGGTTACGAATTCTCTCTTTAGTGTGTGGGGACTTCGCCCTAGTTATGAATATGATCTTCTATATTTTTGCTTTTGCTTCGTTTCATAAACAGGGTAAATAAAGTATGGGCCTTTTCATATATTATCTTTGTTTCCATCTCAAATCTGTTTTCATGGATAATAAATAAAATATTATAGTAGTTGTTCCAAAACTATTTTCATGGATAATACCTAAGAATATTCAAGATTGCTCTTTAAATGAGCTTTTCTAGTATATATTTCTTTTTTTACTTTGTACTGTTTTAAAAAGGTAACATTTGGTACACAACATAATAAAGTGGAAATGTGGAATATGATAGAACTCAACAAAACTAAACATAACATAACAAAATTTGACATTTTATTAAATCGTCACAAATATTAAAACACAAACAAAAATTAAATTATAGGGAACAAGCAGAAAAACGTATTATCTCGATGCTCATAAAACCATTATATTTTTGTCCATTAAATCGCGATGTGTTTAATTTTGCCTAGATTAATAATGCTTTGAGACCAATTTATGGCAATCTGCTTTCATTTGAATATCTATTAATTAAAACCATTTTAATAACCTCGTAGAGGCAAGATAATGTAACTTGTTTGTTCCTTTAGTGAATGAAATACATCTTTTATTAAAATATTGTAAAGCTTATGTTGTTTCAAAAGTTGAAATTTTGGGATGCTCTTGTTTTGGTTTTGGGGTGTTACGGTTGTACACTTGTACTTACTTCCTTCTTATCCTTATTACTGTTGCAGGTATTTGAGTGATCATGCAGATTCAATGTTTGACTCAACTGTTTGTAGGTCAATTTCCAAACATATCTTTCACATGGGTACCTGCATAATAACAAAATTGATTATAAATACCACAAATTAAATTAATGTCTTATTAATCTAAAAAATCATATATTGATTAAAAAAAATGTGAAAGTATACATTTCGCGAAAAAAGTTGTGTTTTGCGTAATGTTGTTAAATTAACAACAAAAAAATAATATGTTATACATGTAGGAACCGTTCGACTTCCTTTTGTGAATCGCAAAACCTTGTTCATGAAACGTGTGATCATTTCTTTATAAAAATTTGGTTATTTTATAATTTGCATTAGATCTAGTTGATGTTAATTTTAGTTTTTCAATGCATCCGTAGCGCATTTTTAGCGAATTTCTAATTGATCATTTCTTTATATCCCCTAATCTAATAAATAAGTATCAAATTGCCACGTGGCAATCTATTAGCCTTCCCCCAATAGATTTTTCCCGCTCAAATGTCTAAGTAAATTTCCGAAAATGCCACGGATCGTGATCTGCAAAAAAATCAAACTCTATTTCTAATTCAAAAAAGATATTCAAATCCTTGTATTGATTACCCATTCATCAATTTTAAGTGGTTTCCGATTTTACAGTTCTCGCATGCATAAAATCAGGGATATACCTACATTGATTTCCCTCTACTTCTCAAGAAATCAACAACCAAAACGTATCCAAAATTGAATCTACATGTAGGGATCAATTGATGCTTTTAGTGGATTACGATACACCTCCTTATCTTAATCCATCTCTTCTCCGTCGGACAATAGTTCAAGTTTTCCTGAGGTTTATTAACAACTACGTGATGGTAATTTCAATATTATTTTGTTGTCGATTCATCTCTTTTGTTTTCGGTTCTTGAGACATCATTATTGATCTGGTATATTTTCTTTGGTTTTCGTTTCCTAATACAATCATTTTAAGATTCATATGAATAACTTTTATGTAAATGTATTCTTATTTGAAAGTGGTGATACAATGATAATAGCTACTATGTTTTCCCTCTATGTTTCTGTTAATTTGTGTTTATTAATGTATATTACAATTCTCGACGCCAATTTCTAGAATGGGGTACGGAGTAATTTCACAATCAAATGGTTATAGCAGCTACCATGTTTTCCCAATTTTGTTCGATTCTAAACTCTAACGTAAACCCTAAACCACACTCAGCCAATATCGCTTCAACTCCTTACACGCATCCTGAACCTAGGGCTTTTTAGTTGAATATGTCACTCATACTCATACATCTCCTTAATTAGGTTTGTTCTTTAATTTTTCTGATAAGATGTTTCTGATGGTGTGTATTATGTTTGATATATGTCTGTTTTGTTTCAGGGAGAAGTGCAGTTGGCTGTTGAGCTTATTGGCGACATTCATTCTAGCAACTAGGTTTTTGTTCTTGCAACCTTATCTCCATGTCTAGATTCTTTTCAAATTTGTTTTATTTATTCTTAATAAAGTGTTTGTATTTATGTATCTTACAGGAGCATACTAGATGTAAAAATATTGATGTATTTGAGTAGAAGCCTTGGAAGCATCCTGTAGCAGATATAACAGGCTATTTCAATTTTGGGTTGAATGAAGATAGTTGGAAGCTTTATTGCAACCAAGTGGTAAAGGCTTCTATTCTTGTGTTAACTTTTGTAATTCTTCAATAAAGTGTCTATCTTTCTGTATCCTAAAAAGATGTTTTTTTGTTGTTGAGGTTCTTGTAATTGTTGTTTCATAACCTCTAATGGAGGAAAATTATGTCATGTTATTTGCAGGATGAATATCGTCATAGAGGACCAATGTCAAGTGGGAGTCCAGTGTCAGAGCCTACACAATTAACGTAGGTGAGTTGGAGAAAGTGTACTAGACACTATTTTGATGATGAGGATTAGAATGGCATTTATGTCTTTTCCCTCCATTGACATCAGTTCCAGTCCTAGATCAATGCACATTACTTATAAATTCATGGTTGTTTACTGCATACTTATTGTTTCAAATGAAAGGAAGGGCAATTCAGGTAGAAGACAACACTGTTGAACGACAATCATCCATGGATATAAGGCGTCAACTGGATCGTGATTCAGAAGTTATACAAGTATGGATTTTCTTACCTATTTGTTGACTGAGGTTTTGTAGTAGCTACATTACATACATCTCTTGTTTCATTGATAATGACATGATTGTATCAGATCACCATTGTGGATCCAGAGGAACATTGTTGTGAATTTGTAAAAGAAGGGTCAGGTAATCTTGAGAGTTCTGTTCCAGAAGCATCTACTCATGGAGATGTTAGTAGGGATGATAGAACAAATCATCTTTCTTTTAGTAGTTTAAGTGAAGATGAATCTTTGGAAGGGAATCATTTGGAGACTGATATAGATTCCCTTAAAAGGTGAGAGCAATAACCTCATGCTATTTGTGATTTTGTGTCAACCTTAATTTAGTTTTTTCTAATTAAAGTTTTCTTTTGAATGTGTTTAGGGGTTCTAATGGAAGGAGTAGAAGTAAGCCTGTGAAACAAGATTCTAAAAATCATGAAATCCATCAATGTTCAGGAGGAACTGATGAAGCAATCAAAACTTTAGACAACACAAAGGAAAGAACTGGTGAGGATACATGCACCACAGACCTATCCATAATGCCTGCAAAATCATCAGAGGCTGAAAAGAGCCCTAAAAACCATTGCAAATCATTTGAAGATAGGTGACAATCTTATAGTCATGAGAGGTGTTCATCTACTGAGTTGACTCGGTCACGGAAGCCTGGTTATCATCATTCAGAGGGCTTGAAAATATCAGATAAGTATTATAGATATCATTCAAGATACCATAGTCTTGTATATAACAATAGGACCCGTAAAGATTCTAAACCCAAATATCACCATGAAAATGATGACATCATCTTCTCAAGAAGATGAGATGAAGAAAGAAAACTTGGGGAGCATAGATATCATGGAAGACACAGTACTGTTGTATATAATCATAGGACCTATAACTATGATAGACTGCATCCTTTTGATCCTTATAATGAGGAAGGCATGTTATATTCAAAAGAATCAGAACCTCCTCTTGATTATTATCATGGTGAAAGGTTTTCTGATTATGAACGATTTGGACCCAAAATGGGTCGACCCCTTTTTCAGAAGTTTAGAAGAGGATGAATACTACGATGAACAAAGAAGATATAGCGATGAGTTTGGATGGCATGATAAAAGGAAAGGAAATAATGTGCATTTTGGACATAAAGGAATATGTGATGAATTTTTTCTTGAACAGGAATATTCCCAAGATATAAAAGGTGAAAATTTTAGATCTTTTGCTTATAATGACATGGAAAAAGATGAATATGAACATATAAATCATAAAGCATGTACCACATGGGAATTTAGAGGCCCTTTGCCAAATAGGGAAGAATCCCATATCAATAATGGAAGATGCCATGGTGACATGATGCCTAGAAGTAGTTTATATGGAAGACAAAGGAGATATGAAGGGAAATTGACTAAAAGATTTAGATATGATGATTCCGAACCTTTTGATAGAGAGGATTACACAGTTGATTATGATGATCGTGTGGATGTGGTAAGAAGTATGGACTACCAGTGGCAACCTGTAATGCAATGGAAAGATGATGACATGGTCACACCCCCAAACCAGAATGGCGGAAACATTCGGGGGCGGATGACTTCACGTAGTATCATAACAGTTGAATATTTGTAAAGAAGGTACACACAACCATCATATATATAATTTAAAAGTTACATTGTTGCTTACAATACATGTCCCAAAAGAATTACAATATGATGATTCAATAAGTTTTAAGATTTACGTCTCGGCGTCTTTTCTCCAAAAAGCTGATGTGTTTACCTGTATTACTGAAGCCCTGAGAATACAAACAGTTTTGGAAAGAGTATCAGCATAAAGCTGGTGAGTTCATAAGCATTTCGTTTTGGTGGAAAAATGTTCTTTGATTCTTTTGAAAAGCGTTCTTCAAGAAAAATCCTATATTTTCTTATGAAAAGCGTGTTTGAAAACTCATTCCTTCCATGACTTCCAGATTCATACAAGATATGTACAATCCAAGGTGTCGTGGAATGAATATGAATATCCGTTGGTTACACGTTAAACAATCTGTTTTTGAATAGTCGGGTTATCCCGGGAAAATCCTATATTTTCCCTAAAAGTTGATGGTTGGTTATCTGTTCTGAACTGAGGTGTACAAGTATCTACCATACTTATATCGATAAAAGCAGTTTTCTTTTAAAACCCTGGTTACACCCAGTGAGGTACATTAGCCTTATTACATAAATAAAACTAATAAAAACACGGTGAACTGAATCCTGAAGGTATTATTAATACTCCCTAGTAATCAATTGATTATTACTCTGAGGTTAGTTCATTCGATCCATTATTACGTAAGTAAATCGCTGTTATCTACGTTGCGAGTTATATAACCATGCATTAACTTGATATGGCGCGTATCGGGACTAGTATCCTTTATGACTTTGTCACCCGTAGACCTGCCGGTCCCACTGTAGCTAGCAGCGAGGTGCGGGATAGTCAGTCCCGTATAGATCTATACACAACAGTCACGCTCTCCCTACAAGAGATTCTGGTCATATGTGCTAGTCCTACACTCTGTTTCAGTGGTGAGTGTTACCAAGGACGTGTCTCCAACTTAGACTAACAAATTTACAAGTAATAATGCTGAAAACCTTTTTTGTAATTAACATGAATCCTTTTATAAAATGATATCTTTTACTTCATGATTCATAAGTTCATTGTCTTAGTTTTGAAAACCGTTTCTGCGAGTTGATTTCTTAAACCATTTGGTAAAACTGTTTTCCATGTTAAAAGTATACTGAAAATATAATTATCTTAAACAAAATAATATACTTTGAGCCCAAGATTACTTGTGCTTTTGCTTGTATTCCCCCCTGAAAACATGAAAAACTCGGAAAAACGTAGGGGTATGAACTCACCTGGTTGAAGAGGCGGGTTGAAGAAGATAAGGCAATAATCGAGCAGAACTTCGACAGGAGGAAGCGGATTTCTCGGGATTCTCGGGAATCTCGGGAGCGTAAAACTTCCTTCGGGACATGGATATGAAAACCGGGACTTCGGGATATTTCTTGCACGTAAAACGAGGTAAAAACGCAAGAGAATGAGAGAAAATGAGCAAAGAAACCCGGAACTCTCACATCCCTTTTATAGGGGCTGGAACCCTCGCGTACGCGGGGCGTACGAGCGAGGTTACGCGGCGCGTTCGCATGCGTCATGGCTTACCGCATCCTCGGAAAAAGCATTGGAGCGACATGGACGAACCGAGGCCTAGCACCCGAGTACGCTGGGCGTACGAGGGTACGCTGGGCGTAAATCGTCTTGGTTTGTGTGCCTCAAACTTGTAAAATCCGTAACTTTCGCATACGAGCTCCGTTTTTGACGTTCTTTATATGCACACGTAGGTGAGACTGTACTCTACAACTTTCATTTAGACTCCGTCGGCTAGTTTTGATTTATTTTTAATTATTTATTTTTAACAGGCCGGGACAGGAAAAGTCCGTTAAAAATCCATAACTTCTTCATCCGACGTCCGTTTTCGTCTGTCTTTTCACCGTTGTACTACTATTGTTGGGATCTTCGATTCTCGTTTAGGTTGTGTCGGCTAAAAGTCGCTCGATCTTTATTTCGAGTTTTTAGCTGTCTACTGTTGTTCTGAAACTTAGAAAAATCATAACTTCCTCATACGAAGTCAGATTTGGGCGTTCTTTTTATGTACGCTCACGGTTTAACGTAATATACGACTTTAGTTTAGATACCTAAGGCTAAAAATTATTTTATTGAAGTTTCACTTTTTACGCTTAACAGTGTTTTACCGGTTTTGACGCGGATCTTTGATTGGTCATAACTTCTTCGTTATGACTCGGATTTGAGTGTTCTTTATATTTTTGGAAACCTTGACACGATATCTATCATTTTATGCATCCGAATTTAGATTTTATAACACTTCATTTTGACGCTAATTTCATTGCTTCCAAAAAAAAATTCATTATATTTGATTTTTTGAATGATACATTGACTTGAAAAATATCGGGTTGCCACAGACATTATGATACTATTTGATGATGCATATACAAAAAGGCATAAATACAAGTTTGAAAGAGATTCAAATGTTAAGTATGAAGTGAGTCATGGAAAAAGATTCCAAGGGAGAAGGGATTCAGATACACATGGAGGGAGTTATGAGTGGGTGTTTATGAATTCACATTTAGTTGATGGATCTGATCATGTTGAGGAGAGGATTGATGATTTAAAAAATGTAGATGGTTGTGGGGGTATAAACGGAAAAGAGAAGTAATTAGTGGAAAAAAGTATGGAGAGAGTGGTAAAAAACCATCACCGAGCTGCAAGAATTCATGCTTAGTTGTTCGGGAAGGAAAGGTAATATCTGGGAAACTGATGATGGCATACTATTACTATTATTGTATCAATTTAATTGTATATTTATATCAATATATGTCATGTCATATATGGGCAATACTATTTTCATTGCATGTTTTATGGAACTACATGTATATGTTATTTCTTAGCTTTAGGGTTTAGGGGGGCCTTTGGTTTGCGAGATTTGGCTGGAATCGGAATTCAATTCCACTCCAGTCCCATGTTTGGTTGCAATTTGAAAATGAGTTAACTTCCCATCCCAAAATCATGGAATTCAGTTCCCAGGATTTTCTTTCATGCTAAAAACATTTAAATTCACAAGTAAACACTTGTTGCTTCTTAATCTGCTTTCACTCTTCTACCCCACAAATGGAATGGAATTCAATAACAATTAAGTACTTTTTGAATCTTTTATTTATATTTAGATCTTTTTCATTTATTGTAAAGGTATATACGATGAGGATATTTTGGTGAATTGGTGTAATAATAGAAAGAGAAGAATGGAATTGAGATCCTTGCATCCTCCTCCACGGATGGTGATGCCAAAGGAAAAAAAAAAGACTGTTGGTTCATACCTTTTTAAATGGGAAGAGATAGATTTAGGCATTTCAAATGAAATGATTTCTATTTTCATTGGGTATTTTGTTTATAGAAATTTTATTGAAATTAGGTTTTATATTTTAGTGTCTAATCTTATTAATTTTAATAAATAATTTAATCATTAAACAATATATTATATTATGTTCTTTTTTTAATCTAATATTAATAATAATTTATATTTTTTTAAATGTTTTAACTAATTCAAAATAATAAATAATTTAAGTGATTTTCTATCACAATTAAACGGACTTTGAAATTGACATTTATACATATATCTCGACAAATAATTCTCTAAGACTTATTAAATAATCGTTAAGTTAAAGTTACGATATATATTTAAAAATATATCATTAGTATATTTATTAAGATAATTATATTGGTATACTGATTCGTATAAAATATGGATTATATTGGTGTTAGATAACAAAAAATTGATAAAAATATATTTTCATAATAGAAATTCCAAAAAATTGTCAAACATATCAAATGTCAAGAGTTCATCTACTATACAAGTTTTGAACATGATGTGGAATGATAATTGTATAAGTTTTCGTCTGTATTTTATCAATATTATAGTTTTCAGAAATTGTTTTCAAATATATTATGATACAAAAACAATTTTATCTATTAATTAAAATAACAATAACTGACTTACAAACAAACTATCAATGTTGGATAAAAATAACTTTTTACAAATTTATTATTAATAATTACGATTTTTATAGTTTCTATGTTATTTTACAATGTATATCTTAATTTTAACTAATCATTTATAAATTTATAGATAAAACATTTATCTTTATAAATCAATATATTTTTGCAAATCTTTGATTAGTATTACAATTTGAAATAATCAATAATGTTTTTTTTGCACAAGCTTGGTTGATTGATTTACTTTTTGCAAAAATTTGGTTGAAAAAATCTGCCGGAGACAACAACAATTTCTATTAATCTCATCAAATTACTGTGTAATAAAATACTTACAAATCACAATGTTATTTTTTTTTTTGAAACGGCAAATCTAACCTACTCCTAAACTACACCTTAAATCCATCTATGTCCACGACGAGACTTGAACTCTCAACCTCAAGGAGGGAGAGCAACACGGATACCGCTGGGCTAGAAGCCCTTTGGTAAGTTTTCTAAATTAATGATATTAAAATAATATAATATTACACTTCATAAGTTTTTTAAATTAATGATATATTATTTTGTACATAATTAATTTTTAATTCTATTTAAAATTAACATCCGTGGATTCCACATGTATGTAATTTAGAAGAAAAAAAAACTTATTATTTTAAAACAATTTTACAATTTATAGTTTGTTAACAGTAGTAAGCTGAAGTCTTGACCAACACTACAAGCTTAAGTAAATCGTCCATAAGATGATACAGTTTATAGTTATTCTACAATAGTGTAATAAAGCTTTTTAGTTGTAATTTTAGCATCTGTAGTTAAGTTTGTTTGTTCTAACTATTTATTGTTAAGTTTGTTTGTTCTAACTATTTATTGTGATAACCTTTTTCTTTTGAAAATTTGGTTTTTATTTGAGTTTTTTTAAACATTTTTGGTTGACTACAATTTGACACCAAAATTTCAAAACCAGTTAACGTTTTACAATTTTGGTCTCTTTGTATAGCTGAATTTTTCAATTTTGGTCATTCTTTGATGTTTTTGTAACTATTTTGGTCCCTGTTCTAGTGAAATGACCAAAAATAGACATTTTACTTGGAACATATATATAAAAAACGTTGCAAGTAAGAGAAAACTTTTTAACCAAAAATATAATTCACTCTTAAATAATGAAGCATATCCCATACTCTACTAAATTTGAAGATAAAGAAGTGCTATTGTTCACAACAGGAAATTTAGACCATAAATACTCACAAAATTCAACAATCGGAATCAGAATCAAACCATCATGTTAACATCATCTTCCTCAGTTGCATCACTAAACATATATTGACTCTGATACTCCATCAAATACTGAGTCGATCTCTTCACATCCCAAAACAACTCATAAACCCTACTCACATCCTCCATCTCCACCACCTTCCCTTTCCTCTTTTGACAAGCCAAAGCAGCCGATGTTATCAAATTTATCGCATACCTTAAACTCGTCTCCACCCCAATTTTAGTCAACAAAACCTTAGCATCTTCCGCCACATCAACATCCTCCTCCCCACACCTTATATCTAGAATCTTCCGGATATCCTCTTCCGTATACGGCTGTGTAGAAATTATCAAAAGCCGATCCAAAAAATCAATCGGAATCCCATGTGGCGATTTGTAATTGGTCCCACGAATCGTTGTGATCCCTCGGTTTGTTGCAACAACCAGAATCGGCGCCATGTCATTTTCTAAAGCACGATTTAGGAAAGAGAAACATTCGATGTCGAGCATGTGGACTTCGTCTATGAAGAGGACACCTGGCACGATCTCGGCCTTTCCTTCCTCTCGCCACTCTGCGACTTTTGTATCGATTTGTTCACGGACTTCGGCGCGTATCTCGCCTGTGTCACCGGTAAAAAGTGCAAGAAACCCTTGTGTCCTGCAAAAAGAAACAGACAGACAACACTTTAACTTTATCCAGACAGACAGATATCATTACTCATTCAGCTACTTTACCTGCTATTGATAACATCGATTTCATGAAGTGTAACACAATGAACAACTTCTTTCCTCTTCTGCAACTCGCCATCCGGACACTGAACGAATTTCGTTTGTGGGCCCATGGCATCGTAATCTCGAGACCTCGCAAACGATCTCCCGAGTTTTGTGATCTTTCCGGAAGCCTTATCGATAGCAATCACATCACCACTTTGTACTTTGTCTTTCCCTAAAGCTTCAATCATTTTAGCTCCTAAATCATACACAGTCTCCATCTCGGTAGTCTTCAAAGTCAACTTCCCGGTTTTCGAGGCGGCTCCGGCCACCGCAGGGCGATCGATTTGGATCTCCACCACTTCTCCTTCAATCACTTCGGTTTCTTCTTTTATTCTAACACCAATTGCTTTCCTAAATGCTTGCATTAAAGCTTCTGTTTTGGACATTTCTAAAGAGAAAAGCTCACTACCTGCCAGCATGGCAAATGGGGTTTCGAGTCCTATTGACTTGGCCATACCCATGGCTATGGCAGTTTTTCCGGTTCCGGGTTGACCCGCGAGGAGGACGGCCCGACCCGCGATTTTACCTTCTTTGACCATTTGGACTATGACTCCGGCAGCTTTGCGGGCGGTGGTTTGACCCACCATGCCTTCTGAGACTTCCCGGGGTTCTAGGGCAGAGTCGAGACCGAGCCCACGGATGTGGGAGTGGGCCCCGATTCGTTCGATTCGGGTTAGGTCTTTGCTCTCTGAGACTTTCACCTCCACCATTGCTAGAACTTAGAAAACTGCATAAGATAATGGATTGTTTGAAATTAGTAACTGTTTCTTACTATTCAAGCAGCCTTGTAGAAAATCACCAGTATAGTAGCAAATGCAAGAATACAATACAATAAATCATTTTAGAACAATCAGCTAGTAAAACAATAAAAAGTTCACGTTTTTAACGAGGTTTAATGATAATTTTGATTTTCAATTCCATTTTTTCAACAAACCCTAAGTATGAAATGTTGGATATAGAGCATTCAAAACCTAAATCGACTAATATACCAGTGGTAAGCAACCTCTAAGTCGATTTGTTCAAGAAAAACTAACGTCTGACCTTAAAGGATTACTTCAAGAGTATACTATAAGTGTTACTTTGTTAAGCAAGCAGGAAGTTTGAAAAACAGGAAACAGATAGCCAAGTAACCAAAACCCTACACCGAAAACTAAGATAATGCAAACATAAAAAGAAATTAAACCTAGAAAAACTACAAAACATAACAGAGTGAGACTGCGATATAGCGTGAATACCTCGACAACAACAACAGCAGAGAAATTGAGAGATTAAGGGTGAGAGGGTTTCAGAGTCAGCGCGAGGGACGGTGATCAGTGGTAGCTTGGTGAGCCGGAGCCGCTGACTGTTGAGGCCGGTGAGAGAGTTTAGGTTTAGGGGCCGATGATGTAAAGAGCGACTGGGTTTTCCGGGAGAGGTTGATTCAATTCTCTTATTAGGTATCAGAATCTTTTATCATTGCTCTTAGCCCGGCCCAAAATCTTTTTTTCTTTCGAACGGTTTCTGCTTTCTATTTTCTACTCTGAAGAACGTCACTTCGTATTTTTCTGGACCGTTCAGATCAGTCTTTTTTTTGGTTCGGTATTTTTTGGGCCCGGTCTCGGTCTTACGGTCTTTCCATATGCCTTTTTTGGTTCGGTTTCCGGGGGTTTTCGGTTTTGGTCATTTTAATTTTTTGGTTCCGGTTTCGGTTTCGGTTTTTTCTTGTAACATGACCAAAATCATAGATTAAGATTTATTAAAAGTAATAAATTAAAATTTAATAATATAAGAAAATGAAAAGTTGAGTAACGTGTGATTAAAAAATATGTAATTAACATAAAAATGATATGTTTATAAATTTTGAGTTCCGGTCTTTTTTGAGACTGGTCCTAGATCGATCTCGGACCGATCTTGTGTTAGTCTTGAAATTATCCAATCTTTTTAGGACCGGTTTCGTATCAGTCTTTTTCTTGTCTGGTTTTTTTAGGACATGTCTTTTTTTGTACGGTCTCGTTTTTTTTTTCTTCTTTTTGGAACGGCAAGTACGGTCTCATTTTAGACCGGTTCGCTCTCGTGCTTTTTCGGGTCCGCTCCAAAAAAACGGTCTTTTTATGCATGTATCTTTATATGTCCATCAAATCACATGTTTATGGAAATGTCAACAGCTTTATTTTTTTAATTTAATTAGTTTTTTAGTGTATAATTATAACTATTCATATACAGTTTGATTGATTATAAGTTATACCTATTAATACACATGATTCAAGACAAACTATTACAGCTTCAAAATAAACTTGTAGAAACCCACCCATGAATCTCATGGTGGTCTCTATGCATGTGGTTTTTTCTAATTTGGGTTTTCAACATAAATCCTAAAAATCCTAATGTGATTGTCTCTGACTTTTGAGTAAATTACACGAATGGTCCCTATGGTTTGGTGTAACTTGCGCGCTTATCCCTAACTTATTTTTTTAACTTGGAAGGTCCCTATTGTTTGTTTTTGTTACGCGTTTGGTCTCTACTATTTGTTTTTGTTACACGTTTGGTCTCTATCTTACCTAAAAACCCTTATTTAAATAGGGAAAAATAGTGGGGTAGGTAATGTAAGGTGAGGGAGTGGGGTTTGAGGTGTGTTTATTTAAATAAATTAAAAAATCAAGGGCAAAATAGTCTTTTTAAGTAAGACATGGACCAAGCTCGTAACAAAAACAAACAGTAGGGACCTTCCGAGTTAAAAAAATAAGTTAGGGATCAAACGCGCAAATTACCCTAAACCATAGGGACCATTCGTGTAAATTACTCCTAACTTTTATTGTTTTACTTATTATTATTGATTATTGTTAGATATAAGGGATTCTCTTTTATTAGAAGTGTTATTGTACATTATCAAATCGTTTGAAGATTTGGATTGGTTGGGACTTGATTTTGACTTAGTTTCTTCAATCATGGGTGAAGTATGCTAATTGAGAAAAGTATTGTTCTTGGCTCATTCATTTTATTAAAGGTTCATTTAGTGTGGTTTTAATCAACAGAAAATTCTAACTCGATGACTTCTTTCTTAAATCAAGGGAAAATAATCTTACTATAACATATAATTTTTCTTTTAGTATAATCTTGATTCTTGTGTTTTCTTTTAGTATAATCTTCATTTAGTGTGGTTTATTTTTTCAATATAAGTTAAATGAGACAACTTTTAATGGTTCCCTCTGCCTCAATCGCCCAAATGAAATCATATGTTTATGGAAGTGTAAACTACTTTTTGATATAATTAGTTTGGGAAGATATAATTACTATTTTTAATATACATTTTGATTAAATATTATATGGTATATGTGTCAACACTATGACATTTAAGCATATATTACTTAAATCTAACTACAAAAGATAAGTTCATAACACTAATAAACACTAATATACATGTACAAAACAGTTATCAAAAGTTTTGCAAAAACATTTTTATCCAAACTTAAGCTAACAGAATATGTATCCAAAATCGAGTCCAAAACATGTCTTGACTAAACCAGCTCTTTCCCTTTATTATTGGAGCTCGAAACCTGAAAAGTTAATACGAATAAAAGTAAGCAGTTAATATTAGGGTTGTTTGATAGTTGTTTATTTAGTTAGATCTTAGTGAATCACTAGACCGACCTTCTTATCATACCTATTAAAAGACATATCATATGTTTTAGGACCGAATCAAATAATTTATATTAAATAGTCTCAATATTATGATCTTGTCAAACTCACTCTTTATCAAACCTAACAAAAAATATATCAAATACCCCTTGGTGCTCTATATCATTACGATAAGATCCTTATTTTTCTAAATTAAGAAAACCATTTGTAAATAATCTCATAAACTCTTGTAAAAATATTCATTTTTGTATAGCAAAAAATGGCTCTAACAAACTTCGTGTATATATTTGATCCGACTAAACTTCCCCATATACATGTACTTCTATCATGTACATCACCATCCAATCATCCATATATGTACATCAACCATATAGAACCTCATTGATACAACTTGTTCATGAAGGTTGACAATCCGTATATGTACTTATCCATATAGGATTCAACCTACCAATGACCTCCTTACTACATCTAAATTTTCCTCCAATAAACTTATTATGATATCAAGATTTTTTTTAAGTGCATTTTCGTCAAGAAAAATGGCAGATTTGTTTTCTGAACTGTGTGAGAACCATCATAAAACGATTTTGCAAGCATTAATAGTGAATATACTTATACTAAACAATAAACACCTGAATTGTAAAATAAAGATCCTGAAATTAACCAAAAAACGTTTACAAATTCAAACGTCTCAAGTAAACAAAACTCAAACCAAAACTGGTCTTTCTTTTCAGAATTCAAAACATAACCAGAAAACAAAAGAAACCAACATTTCATGATCCATCATATTTCAAAACCTCAAAATTCTTCAAGCCTTCATGCGATTGTAGAACTTAAGCTTCTCCTGTGTAGTCTGGAAACGACCATGCCCAAATTTGGATGACGTGTCAATAAACTTGAGCTTAATCTCCTCAAGCGCCAGCCTGGAGGTCTGAGCAAGCAACGACTGTCTCAAAGTCACCACCCTCTTCTTGGGCCCCACACAACACCCTTTAATCAACAAATAATCATCCTTCACCACACCATAATGAGGAAACCCACCCATTGGTGTTATATCCTTCTCAGTCCTACACATAACACACCAATAACTCATTAAAAAAAGTAAATTTTATTTACAAAAGATTCTGAGTTTCTGACTCAGTGAGTCACTAACCTGTCAAACTCAGTGAGTGCAGTGTGAGACTCGAGTCCAGTCTTTCCAAGTTTGTAAATCTTCTTATTCATTTCAGTCCTGTGATGATACCCATTCTGACCAGCTCTTGCAACAGTGAATGACACCCTGGCAGGATGCCACGCTCCGATACACGCCACCTTACGTAGACCTCTGTGGGTCTTACGTGGCAGCCTAGTCACACCCCAACGTGTCACCACACCTTCATAACCTTTACCCTTTGTCACACCAATAATGTCAATCATTTCATCTTTCTGGAAAACAGCATCAATTGGAATCTGTTTCTCAAAAAACCCATAAGCAAAATCAACTTTTTGAGCAATTGTTCCTCCATTCACTTGAATCTCCATCAAATGCGCTTTCTTCTGCTTCAATCCCTTCATTTTCCTTATCTGAAAACACAAAAAGAGTCAGAATTTGAAATAGAATAGTAAAATACACTGAGGGTAAAATGGGAATTATTTTTTATTACCTGGGTGTGAGCTAGGACACGAATGACAGTTCCGTATTTTTTCATTTTTTCCAATTGGGATTGAATGTCTTTTTTGCCCTCATCGGATTCGAATTTCTTGGAGTATTTGGCGAATGCTTTCTTCTTGGATTTGCACCAGTTCTTGTAGAACCTTCTTTTGATGTCTTCACTGAGATGTTGTGCCCAAACAGTGTTCAAAGAACGGAGGCCACGAGGGGTTTTGACATAGGCAACAACTCCAACAACCACCATGGGAGGTGTCTCAATGATTGTCACTGCTTCACATGTCTCTTTCTTGTGGAGCTCTGAAGAAATAATAAAGTAAAGATTAGTATATTGGAAAGAGAAATTGATTAACTTGATAATGGAATTTGAGGAAAAATGGATTACTTGATCCAGGCTTTTCGACATCTCTGACAATGTGGGTCATGCCAGCTTTGTAACCCAAGAAAGCTGTAAGCTTGCAAGGTTTGGTTGGGTCGTCCTTGGGGAAAGCTTTCACTGCATAAATCAAATCAAACCATGGTTTAATTAATAATTACAAATGAAAAGAGAATGAAAAAATACAACTCAAATTTGACCACAACTACTAGAAATATCAATGTGCTCTTGGAGTGTATGTGAGAGTGGTGGAAAATTTTGAAGGTCTAGTCTCCATTTTACATCACTTGTGAAAAAGTAATGTTAGTTTCTTCATCAATTAATGGAAGTTTTACAGAGTAAGGATCTTGTTTAAAAAAGAAAATGCTAGATTAAAAATGCATAGATTGAACTCCAATCAGAAACAAAATAAGGATAGATTGATTAATGCAAACTAAGAAACGAACTATACCTTTGCCTCTGTGGCGAGCAGCACGCTTCCTGGGAAGAAACCCAAGGGAACCGTGTCTGGGATGCTCGAACTTCCTGTGCGACATTTTTGCCTTCGTCCACCTTTAAATCAGAAATTAAACATTACATACAGAAACCTCAAAAATCTATAGACAAAAGTGGATGAATATAATAATCAGATCGTTATTCATTGAAGATCCATGTATAAGTGATTAAAATTTTCAATGATTGATGCACAAACGAATCAAACGCTCAAAACTCGATTGAATCTTTACGGATGAATGTATCTATCTCCTATAAATGAATAAAAACTCATTCTAGGTACTAAATAAGCTCGAGACAGAGCCGAAAACGTGTTGACGGTATGTGATCAATTGAAGTGTTCCATATGAAAACAGATACGGATTCGTGATAAGTGCAATTCATAAAATCAACGGCTTGCAAAATAATTTCCAGTAACTGAGCGTACTGGTAGTCTATATAATTAGAAGAGACGAAATATAGATCGGATTTCACCTGAAATCAAATCCTTACGAACAATCGAACGATGACATCGGTGATAGAAAAAAGCAAGTGTTGATTTTAAGAGATGTTCATAAACACGCAGTAATAGTTCAAGCATTCAAATAGAGGGAGAGAGAGCAAGAGGGAGAACCTGAGGTTCAAAGATGGCTGTGCGGCGACGGTAGCTCGGTAACACTAGCAAAAACCCTAACTCTACGTTTATATAGTTGATGCCCTGTGTAGACGAAGCCCTATTTGATTCTAAGATTGGAATGAGTTACATAAATGGCCCCTTCACTGTTCTTAATCGGCATTTTTCATCTCTAATAATTAACAAATTTGTTGCTTGTATTTAAGCAAAATCTTTGCATTTTTCAAAAAGAAAGATGTAAAAAGGTCCAATAATAAAATATGTCTTTTAAGTCATTAAATCACAAACAAACAAATCATGTGGTTTTATTATTATATAACAAGGTTTCCCTTTTGTGGACTTTAGGAGTGAGTTTTTACCATGAGGCATGTAGTTTCATGCAAAAAAAGTATGGTAAAATGTCGGGGAGCTCTTCAATAGAATCCATTTATTCATGCATAGTAATTTTATGATCTCAATATCTATGAACGTGGTTTTTAAAAGAATTAGTTTCGATATCTAAAAATGATTAACGGCACAACTTGTTGCTCGTTTACTCGTTACATATATGTAAAACTTTTTTTTATTGATAACAAGTTAGTATTAAAGGGAAAAAAAACTGTCAATTGGGAATAGCTCAATTGGTAGAGGCATAGGTGTTGTTTGTTTTTTCTAAAAAACCACTTCTGACCATTTATTGTTGCGCCGCGCAGCACACGTGCAACATTTGGCCCTTCGCAACTATTTGTTTTTCAGAAGACCTTTGTCTTAAAAATAGTTGCGTGTGTGCTGCGTGGCGCAGCACTTTACTCTCTACTTCAAACCTCTTCACACATTACTTTAGCTTATTGCAGCAGTCTGCAGAGGTTAAAAAACAAACAAACTTTTTATTACATGTTGCAGCCGTTTGGTCCCCCTCTTCTGCTACAGAGGGTTGCAGAGGTGGTCCGCAGACTTCAGGCGTTTTCACTTCGAAAAAACAAACGGCACCATAGTCTCTTAGTTTACAAGAATGGGAATACTAGGGTCCGATCTTTGGTGCTAACAACAATTGGAATATTAACACTAACACCTAACCAGTCAGCCTGTTGTTCAAAAAATGAAAAAAAAATTAAAAAAATTTTATAATTGATTATGATTTTTACTAGGAACCCATGATGAATCTGATGTGGATTATACGTTCCTACATGCTTAAAAAAATCATGTTTAAATTTTAGTTATCATAAAAGAAACACAAGACTTTTATCATTAGGAATTTGATACCCTTCAAAACCCTAATCACTGATTTATCAAATTCAAATTCTGATGAGAATTGGACAAAGCAAGACTTAATCTCGTTAATGAGTTGTATAAGGCCTCTATAACTTGTACAATTGATTGTGTATACAGTAATTGATTCAAACTATTGTCATCTAAGCTATTTGTCGTAGTTGTTGATTCATAAGTTAGTGCAAGATGTAATTCCATATTTTCTTGTGAAATTTGTGGTTGAAATTGATGATTTTAGTGGTAATATACCATTGGAATAAATTTCAAACGATTTTGGAAATTACAACAATCACGAAAGACTATAACATCGCATCTTCATAGTGAATGTTTAAAACGTAATTCAATTCGTAAAAACATATTACAGTGTATTTATATGTGTATTATATCTTTAGTAAGTTTTTTTGTACGTACTGAATTTTATTTATATATATTTAAATATGTATTTAATAAGTATAAATACATATATATTTTATATAAAACAATGTATACAATAAATTATGAAAATACTTATTTATATGGTTTATATAAAAAGATGCTTTTTTTTGCATATATATGATTTATATGACAAAATATGTCTTAAACGAAATAAATAAATATTTTTACATATTAATACGTATAAATACATATAGATAGGTGTGTGTGTGTGTATGTGTGTGTGTGTGTGTGTGTATATATATATATATATATATATATATATATATATATATATATATATATATATATATATATAAGGTCCGAATCCGATGATGACTCCAATTTCGGTGAGGACTACGAGGACAATTCTCGACCAATCTACTTCATTGAGGGTAGTTTTGTCACAAAATAATCTAAATGGGCTGGGAAAAATGATTGTGTCCTTGAACTATGTTGAACACCAATCCAAAATCACCATCTTATTTTTCGCCTTCAACTGAGTTATGTATTGAATCATACAACAATCAATTTTCTACTAAAACAATTTGCAGTTCTAATTCAATCAGGTTATCTTCCTCCTATAATTGGAACAATTTTTGTTAGATTGATTACAGTAAGAACCTTAACTGCTAACATATGTTATGTTTTTTTTTTAATTCGACTTCTCAACTAGCTATTTAATTGACGAACTTTTTGTGTTTTTTCTGAAAATCACGTTCTTTCATAATGATGTTGAATATGATTCGATGCAATTGTTGCTTGAAAAACATGATTTAAATTATTGTTTCTTTCATCTACTCTAATTTTTATTTTTAGCTTAAAAATCAATTTTCATCATATTAATAATATTAATCTAATAACACTAGTCGTTTTTATATTGGTTTATATGCAAGAAGATTTCGTGTGAAACTTTGAATTAAAAAGGTTACCAAATTATATTTGATGACATTTTACAAGTGTTTGGTGAAATACCTAAGAGAGTTAAATATTTTTTGTGACATCCTCATTTTCACGGCCAGAAAAGACCGATTTGTTTATGCTTTGTTTAAAAATCAGAGTAACATTTTAAATAAAAGAGTTGCGGAATTTATTCCCAAAACGAAATATGATAAAGATTTATCAAAGCATTTCCGTAGAAATGAATTTCATTAAAAGACTCGGGATGTCATGTTCGATACAGGTCAAAAGCATAAACAGTACAACATAAGCCTTACTACATTACTTTGTATTTACATGCCTATAATCCCTTATCTCTCATCCAAACATCTATGCTCATGCGCCACTACCTGTAATACAAGAAACTGAGTGGGTCAGGCTTGGGAGCCTGGTGAGCACATAGGGTTTTCAACCCACAATAAATAAGTTTATTAACTTTATCAAACCAATCAAACCCGATTACCCCTTCCCGTTATCCTCACTTTACGTCCCTAAAACATCTAACACAAGGGACCTAGTCTAAGGACTTTCATCGGGGTGACAACACATGCTTCGGGGGTTCCTCAGCAATTCATGTCCAATAAGGCAACCATGTGGGGGATGGAGTACTGCTGGTGAGCACACAGTTCAAATAAACACCTACAGGTTGCGAGCCTACTAGCGTTCCACTGGACTATCTAGAATAGTCTGTGGTCGTCATCTATACTCCGCTAGATGATTGGATCATCAATAACATCTATAACGAGGCCTCTCATTATTTTATTTTGTCACACAACAACTATTACATCTACCCATGTTTTACCCATCACATTTTGTAGATATAAAATACATATATAGTTTAAATCATTAAAAACATGTATAAAATCGTTCATCCAGCATAGATAGCAAGTATACAGATAATATGCACACGTAGCACGTAATTTATATAAAATACTTCATATCTATGTGTAAGATGAAAGTAACTATGCACTCACCTGTTAAGGTGGTGATTCCGAACTCGGACAACGCTTCGTTATCTCAAAACAATTTTCCCTTGACAAAACCTAGAATCAATACCACTAGGGTTTAGTCTAACGTTAACCGCGACTAATTAATAGTCTAGCTATTATTAATATTATATAAGCGTTAAACAACACTCTTATATAACTCATAATAATAGCCCAAATAATTATTTTAAGGTCCTAATTGTTGGATTAGTGTCTAAGTCCATAACTATTTTGGTATGTACTTGACCCGATTGTGAGCATGGTCCTTTTGGGTTGCCTTCACCATAGCAATATGTAGGATGAATTAAGAAGAGAAAGGTTTAATTATGATTTATTAATATATTATGAGAATAATATGTTAAAGGAGAAATCATATTGTTTAATTAATATTAGTCAAGAATTAATTAAGAATTGATTTTGTGGCTAAAAGAGATTAATTAAACTTAAGGGGACTGAATTTGTAATTATAAGATAATTGCAATTGGGATATGGATCACCTAATAATATAGGTTGGACGAATTCTATGGGAAGCCCATAAGGAATTCGTCCAAGGGATATTCTAAAGGGGTCCATGGGCTGCTTAGGGCCTAAGCAGTCAAATTAGGGTTTCCTAAGTGCAAAACCCTAATAGCCTAAGTATATAAGGAACCCTTAGGCACCAAAAACATGGCTAATACTGGGATTAGGGTTTCCAGCCGTTTTTGGTGTCTACTCTCTCTTCATTCTTCATCCTTGTTGCTTAGTGGTGTTTGTGACTCCATTAGAGGTACTACACTTGTGGTACTTGCTTTCAAAGCTAAGGAGATTCAAGGAACTAGTTGTTATTACTATATAACAACAAAAGGTATGTAATCTATTCTTCTATGTGGATTTCGAAAATAGTAGTAGCATGACAGGTTTCTTTTTGCGTTCATAAAGTTGTATAACTAATAGTGAAAACATAGATCCAACTCTAGGGTTGCATGCACACATAGGATTGTTTGTACAAAACCCAACAGTGGTATCAGAGCCATTGGTTTTTGTTTTCAATTAGTTTTCTATACAAAAGTATGAATTTGACATATTAGGGTTTATAGCCAATAAACCCTAAAGGCATGATTTTCGAAATTAGGGTTCATAAACCCTAAATTTCGAAATTTGGTTAGGGTTTCCCAAATCCTTTCCTTAGCCTCCAAGATTTCGAATTCTAGGGTTATCCAACACTAGGATTTCGAAATTGCCTCCTTCCCAAAGATAAGATCCTAAATTTTAGGGATTTGGATAATGTAACATCCGGATTTTTAGAGGTATTATGGTGTAGGTTAATCTTGTTATTAAAGGAGGGACTCGACTAGTTGAGGGTCCAACTCGCCGAGTCGAGTCGGGTTTCTCCCGTGGATTTAATGAGTGGACTCGACGAGTCCGAGGAGAGGGACTCGCCGAGTAGGCACTGATTAGAGAAACCCTAATTTCCGGGGTTTGGGACCTATTTAAAGGCACTTATAGCCTCATTTGCGGCCACCATTTCCCTGGAAGCAAACCCTAAAGGTCATTTGAGCTAGAAAGTGAGAGAGAAGCTATCTTGGGATTTTTAGTGCAT